AGCCACATGCAGCGAGAAGGACAGTGCGGTCAGCAAGTCGGAGGGGGAGCTGCACTTCCCAGAAAGCCCCTACCTCTATTACGACAGCAAGCAGTGAGTAGCCCCTCTGCCACTCCTCCCCGACGCCCACCTCCAGTCTGACTGTGCCCATTAACCATGACAGCCACCTTCTGTCTAGAAATAATGTTCTCTCGATGTATCCGCCTGCAGACTGTGTGTCTGGACCCTGTCCATACCCGAGGAAATGCATGTGTTACTCAGTTTTTCCCACTTGGATGCAGAGTCTTGTCACCACAACTACCTGTCGATACATTCTTTAGAAGAAAGACTTATTGGTGAGTGTATTTCCACATCGTCAATGGACACTAGTGCTAGGAGGGCTCAAGGGGGCCTGGTTATAATATGTCTGGCACTGAGACATCTGTACCCACCACATTTCCTGGCTCCAATTTTTGAGACTCAGGATTGACAGAGGGAAAAAACCAAATCTGAGCCTGTGTGATGGCTGCAAGGCCACAGTGTGTTTTATTTGCTGCATCTGCTTCCCATGGAACCAGGCTTCCTACACTCATTTCAGACCTGGAGCCCATCAGGAGTCAAATGCAGACATATTGCGGGGCCTCCCAGGCAGCACGAAAATGACCTTTCCCTGCCTCACCCAGCTAAGAATAAAAGTGGATACTCATGAGTAGGAGAGAGAAGATACTTATATAAAAAACAGAAGTGAAGGAGAGTTTCTGTGGTTCTTAACTAGATGTGATTTTGCCTCCCAGGATATCATTGGTAATGTCCTAGAAGCTTTTTCGGTTGTCACAGCTGGAGGGCGTATTACAGGCAGCTGGAGGTTAGAGACCAGGAATGCTGCCGAACATCGCACAGTGTACAGGAGCCTGGACACAAAGAGCGTCCAGTTCAAAACGCCAGTGGTGCCAAGGCTGAGAAACCCCCGCTAGACGATCCTGCACACTCATGACAAGTTCAGGTCTCCGTAAGTCTTTGAATGGGTGCTCCCTTCTAGACTCTGAACACAGAATCTTCTTGTGTTGCAGGGAAATTCTGTGGTGAAAACCTCGCTTCATCAGTTCTTGTTGCCGCCAGCTCTTTGAGGCTGAAGTTCATCTCTGACGCCACAGATCATGCCGCTGGGTTTAATCTCACCTATAAAGCCATTAAGCCAAACTACCTTCCTGGTAAAACCATTTGCTTTCATCACGCACTATCCAGGCCTTCTGTAGAAGTTGAGGCCCCACAGGAATTAGGTGAGGGGCAGGGAGCCCCCTCCCAAGGCCCTCTCGGCTCCTCGGTGGAGAGGAGCCCAGGCCCTTGCGACGCCAGGCACAGCGCTCCTTCTACGGCGCTATCGCACACGCAAGTGAGCTGAGAGCGCCTAGTGAGCTCTGGGAAATCAGCGCTCCAGCCTCTTCCTTCTTGCGGGCTCTGCCTGAAGATTCAGGTCATGCATCATTCACGGAAGACGGGAGGGGAAACGAAAGGATTCCTCTCTGCTTGGCTGATGCCATTGTCTGGATGTTTTTCCTTGTGTTTCAGATTCAGGTTGCAGCTCCTTAACTGTCCTTTTTGAAGAAGGCCTCATACAGAGTCTTCGTTATCCTGAAAACTACACTGACATGGCCAACTGTAACTGGGTTTTTCAAGCCCCCCAGCATTATGTAATTAAGGTACTAACTCTGGTTCCCCTTACTTTGCTACGGTATCTTCACAGTAGCTACATAAGCACCGTTAGGGCAGAAGTTTTCGTCTGATCCACTCACCACTGTATCCCCAGCACCAAGTCTCCCTGTACCTGGCATACAAGGCTCTCAACAAGCACTCCTCCAATAACAGACCGGCCTGTTCCCCCGTAACTACCCACACTGACCACCAGATGGCAACTGCGCACTTCACTTTTTGTTGAAGGGCTGCCTTAATCTCTGTACCTGGTAAAGTACAGAGATTACATCAGTCTCTAGCCCCTTCTAGAAACACTTTGTGAGTAATGGCTAACAAAAGTTCGGTGACAATAAGGCCCACATCGTCAAGCTCTTGTGCAGAGGGGACAGAGCAAGCACAGAGGAACCAGCACAGGACAGGTTCGGGGCGCTGGTGTGAGCACCATAACACATACTGGGAGAGGTGGTGGAAGGTGAGGCTCAGGTCAAAGTATAGAGAGCCTTGAACGTCAGGATACAGAGTTTATTCAGCATTCGATTAGTGGTGCATATGCTCGTTGGTTTGTTCTTTAAATACTGGTGAGCCATCTGCACAGAGATGCCTCCAGATAGCTGAACGTGAGGCTGCAGTCAGAGTAAGGTAGAACTAGGCATTTATTTAGAAGTCTTTCTCTTAAAATAATAATTGAAAGCAAGAGAATAGGAAGTTGAGAAAGAAGAGTAGAAAATAAAGGGGGAAGATGAAAGTTCTCATATGTTCAAAAGGCAAAAAGAGATCTCAAACACGGGAGAACCAAACTGGTGTGGTCCAGAGAATGGAGCCGTTCATTTAAAACACAAAACAAAGTAAACAAACAACATGGTGTGGCCAATACGTTGGATTTCCTGCACAAAGTCAGAATTTAAAGAGAAGGAGGCCGAGCACTCATTGTCCAGTCCCCACCTCAGCCCCCAATAAAAAGGTGGAAGAACTGGATTGGACAGTTGAACAACAGAGAGGAGGCAGTGGTGGTGTCTGAAATATCAAGTTAAGCCAGGTGTCAGGAGCACAAAGAAGACCACACAGGCTTTACCAGGGAGTGGGCAAAGAGGGCGCAGAGGAAGGAAGCACAGACCTTTTCCTAAAAGTTCCTGAAACCCAAACACAGTCAGGGCAGATGTTTCGGGAGGAAGTAGAATTAAGGGAAGATTTGTTATTAGTGATGGAGGATAACATTTTAAATATGAGCATTTCCTGGAAGACAGAGACAAATTTAGTAGAAAATCTGAACATGCCAGAGCTACAAGTAATGAAAAAGCCATCTATTCAATACTACACGGAGTGCCAGGCATCAGTGAAATGAGGCTCTCACACCCCCGGTGCCAGCATCATCCCAGGCCTAAGCCAAGATAGTAATTTGGAAATTAGCACTACAAGTCATAACTATGTGCATATACCATGGCTCAGTGAGGAAAGGGCTCACTTCCAGCAGGCATCCCAGCAAGGGTTTAAGAAACGTTTGAACGAATCCTGTTTCTGACGAGGCTTCTCCCCATGCCTGCGTTCACCACCAACAGTCAGCTGCCTCCACTGCTCTCCTTCCCATGCGGTCCTGTCTTTGGCTGAGTGCTCAGGCTCCACTGAATCCCTGTCATCTGTATGTTTAATAGCTGAACTCCTGCTTCGTTGGCCCTGTCTCTCACTGCTCTTCTCTTCACACTCAACTGGCCAGTGCTATCAAACTGCTCAAATATTGCTCTTTGCAGTCTCTTCGCTCCTCCTAGGAGGGAGTTAGGGAGCTCAGATACTTGCATATTTTCGCACCCTTACATTCGGACTGTAGTCAGCAGCTTCGATGCTTCAGCAGGTTTGGGAGCCTGTGGTACAGCATCTTCTCCTAAGTCACTTAACCCACTCATGAACGTCCCACTAACTTTCTCATCTAAGGTCACACTCCAGAGCAAGTTGCACAATCCGAATTTTCTGCTTAATCAAAATCAGGTAATTCATTCCTATTATTTGCTCTGGATGTAATGTTGAGTTTTCTCAGCTTTCCTTTCAGGACCTGGAAATAGAGGAGAGTGGAGACTGTACTTCCGACTACATGACAGTGCACAGGGATGTAGAAAGGAAGAAGGAAATAGGTGTGTGTTCCTGGAGCTCAGCTCCCTGGTTTGCATTTGGACCCAGCCTTTTTGGGGAATGAAAAGGATATGGCTCAGTGGTCCTTCACTCCCTGCACCACCTCCATCCCTCCCTATGCTCTCACCAGCCCTCCCTCTTTTCCTACATCAGGGGCGGAAAGAGTGAGAGGGAGAATCAAAGGACCATTTGAACAGAAAATATGGGACGGTCACATGAACTAGGAGTCAGAAGGGGAAAGTGCTATTGAAATAAGCCCTCTGGATAGAACCAATTCCCTTAGCAGAGTTCCCAGTAGGAATATTTGGGAGATAAACAGAATTGAAATGTTGATGGGGTTAAAGACATATTAAAAAGAAGCCAACTGCCTGTCTATTTTGAAAACAAATAGTGACATCCACCAGAAAAGTTTATTTCCGAAGAGTTACCTAAAGGACAATTATTTTTTTCTTTAATGCAATGTCACATCTCCTTGCTGGGCCCTTGACATGTCTTGCCTGGGCTGGGCTTGAACCAGCTCGGTTGTGTGGCTTTGTTGCCCCTGTGCCTGTGCTGAGCTTCTCCAGCGTAATGCTCATCAGCTTCCAGTCCGATGAAAATGTGACCTTCAGAGGCTTTCAGGCTACAGTCGCCTTCATTCCTGAAACAGGTAAGAAGGAAGAGGCACCTACCCCTTGGGTCCAAGTTCTCATCCTCATAATGTGTTAATCAAGGACAGCCTTTGGAGCCCAACATGGGTCCAACTGGGTCTCATTATTTGCAGCAGTTCTATTCTATAAAGTCTCTGTGACTAATGAACCAGTGTTCCCAGGAGAGATACAGGGTTAGGTTCCTACAGCCTCTGGTTTTATGTATGTTTCTGTTGAACGGCATCTTATTTGATATATATATTGTTGATTCACTAACACTGAATTCACAGCCAACACACTGTAACTCAAACCTGAACAAAGCTTATCTGTCAGACGCATTTCCAAAGGCATCACAGAATCCTTGCACTTAGGAACACTAGATGGCACTTCAGCACTATGTTTAGGGCCATTTTAAACAGCAAAGTCACCAGCAAAATACACAAAAATGCAACGAAACATACAAACAAAGAAGTGGCACTACACACACCATGGAAAGAACACTTACTTATAGTATGAGAGCTGAAACAAGAAGACACAGTGTCACCTCATGAGGCCTCAGCTAGGGACACGTGCATCAGGTGACTCCAAATTTTCACGTATGTCCATCCATGAATGACCACGAAAACACCATGAGTACTGGTTTTGAGTTACAAATAAATGTTAGTGAGTAGGTGAATTTGAAAATGCAGAGACTCCTCAAAGGGTGAGGATCATCTGTATGCCTCAATCTTGGCCTATGCTTACTAGATATGTGACCCAAGAGTCATCTAAGCCTCATGTCCTGCAACCTTACAATGGGTGAATAACACATGCCTGGTAGGAATGTAGTGAGGATTAAGTCAAATAAGGTATGCTTGGCCATGAACAAGTGTGTGACACATGACAGGGGCTCCAAATGTGAAATATTTTCACCAACTCTCAGTTCCCAGACACCTGAATTACAGTTTCCTTCCAACACCTCATACCCATGAGCACTTTGACCAAACCCCATGGAGTTTCTCAAGTGATTCATTCTTGTTAGGGAGTAAGCAGCTACTTATGGCAAAGCCAGGTTACAATAAAAATACTCCACTTTTTACTTAAAATACCCAGAGTTCAGCTGACTGAGATGCCCCAGAATTCTAACAACAATAATTTTCTGCTAAGTCCCAAGCACTAGCCTTGTTTGTGTGATCTGAGCATTATATTGTGCTTATGCCCAGACTTAAACATCTCCAGGTCAGAGGATGAGTCAATGTTTCTGGAGACATGGAATGTCCTACCTGAAGAATCCGATGCTTCTGGTAAGCTGTTTTAAGGATAGTGACCAAGAGATGCACACAGAGGGTATCAGCCAGGGCACCCCAAAAAGATATGTTGGAGTCCTCACCTCCAGTACCCCCAAATGTGATTTTATTTGGAGGTAGAGTCTTTAGAGAGGTAATCAAGTTAAAACGAGTTCATTAGTGTGGGCCTCAATCCAATGTGGCTGGTGTCCTTGTAAAAGGGGATATTTGGATGCAAAGAGACACACACACACACAGGAGGACATCACATGAACATGAAGGCAGAGCCTGGGGTGATGCAGTATCGTCAAGCCAAGGAATGCCAAAGTTTGCCAGCAAACCACCAGAAGCTAGAGGAGAGGCCTGGAACAGCTTCTCTGTCACAGAAGGAACAAACCCTACCAACACCTTTATTTCAGACTTCTAGTCTCCAAAACTGTGACACAATACATTTCTGTTCTTCTAAGACACCCAGTTTGTGATATTTTGTTATGGCAGACTTACCAGGAATTGGCTTACATGACTGTGGGGCTGACTAAGCAAGTCAATCCAGAGGGCAGTAAGAAAGGGAAGCTCACAGGACACGGGCATTCCACAGGCACGGGCTGAGCTACTCTCCACAGGCCGAATTCCTACTCTCTTTGGGGAAGCCTCAGCTCTGTTTTTGAGGCCTTTCCAATGAATTAAGTCAGGCCCACCTGGATTAGCCAGGATGATCTTCTTTACCTACAGTCACCTGATTAGGGACTTTCATTACTTCTGCAAAATCCCTTCACAGCAACATCTCAATTATGTTTGATTGAATTACTGAGGGCTACAGCCCAGCCCAGCTGATACATCAAAAAACCCATCATCCACAGCTCTATGCCCTATGGTCATTGTCCCTTTCGCTCAAAGCAACTCAAATGACCCAATCACAGACCTTCCTCCAAAAGCATCTCTGAGCTTCAACTTTGTCAGCTGAAAAATGGAATGCTTCTTTAAACTCAAACTAGGAATTTTTAAGTTTGCATGGCATCATGAATAAAATGTTTTTTAATGCACTGACTGCAGCACAGGGTGCTGTGGTGCAGGAAAGAACATGAGGCTGGATTCAGAAACGTGGCCTTGCATCCCAGCTTTGCTAGTTTCAAGCTATGTGATCATGGGCAAGGCATGGACTCTCGCTGAGGTTCTTTCTCCAAACTAAAGTGGTTGTAAAAGGCCCGGCTGGGCGTGGCTCAACGGTTGAGCATCAACCTAGTATCCAGGAGACAAGGTTCGGTTCCCGGTCAGGGCACATGCCCAGGTTGCGGGCTCGATCCCCAGTCGGGGGCGTGCAGGGGGCAGCCGATCAATGACAACTCTCTCATCGTTGATGTTTCTATCTCTCTCTCTCCCTCTCTCCCTCTCCTTTCCTCTCTCTGAAATCAATAAAGATATATAAAAAATAAAGTAGTTGTAAAAGGATCGCAACAATTTCAGAGGGATATGGTCCATTATGGGAAATGTTCTGTAAACTCTAAAAGTCTATGAAAATGAAGGTTTTATAATTACTCTCAGAATGGAGGCTTTAGCTCACTTTGCTGCATCTTAACTTACTCATACTTAAAAACAAAACATAAATTGTCCCCACAAACTCTTTTTGAAAAAAAGCCTTCTGCTTTTGTCTCTATAATACACAAGGAAACAGAGGCTGGGGCAAGTTAGTGAACAACCGAAGTCCTGGTTGTGTTCAAGGAGGAGGTGGGACCATTTCCTTCATTTCTTTCCTTTGGATGCTTCCCCCCTTCTCTCCTTCCTGGAGGCCAGCCCTTCTCCTACAGCAAGTCCGAGGCTCCTGGCAGCCCTACCCCATCTGAGTAGGTGGAACTTTCCCCTGGAAACTGCATTTGCTGCCCCATTTATCTCCTGTTGTTTCCACAGCCCAAGNCAGCCCCAGGCTGGCAGCCCTACCCCATCTGAGTAGGTGGAACTTTCCCCTGGAAACTGCATTTGCTGCCCCATTTATCTCCTGTTGTTTCCACAGCCCAAGTTGTGAACTCACAATTACTACCTTGTGGAGGCTCAGTCCCCAGCTCCTGCCACAACAGATGCTGTTTGGGAAGAGTTGAAGCAACTGCTATAAATATTGGTGGGAAGCTTGACTAACATCACTGGCGTAGCTCTGCAGACACGGCTGCTCAGGAAGGATTCCCTGGGCATGGGAGGAATGACAGGAGTAGGACTGCAAGCTGTTCTTCTGACTTTTCCCAACAGTTTCTGGCAAATTCTGGTCATTCCCAGTGTCTCAAGCCTCTTGCCTTTATACAGTGTTACTCCATCAGACCGAGGTAAGCCTTACATTGCCAGGAGTGTGCAAGGTTTTCCATGCCACATTTCTGCTATACACGTTGAGGGTGAAGACATTCCAGAAAGGAAAGCGTTGCCTTTGCTTTACGGCTATCTGCAGTGCTCAGTGGGGGAATTCTGATGAGGTGGCATTGACATACTTTACTTTAAAATCCTTGAAGAAGAAAACCAAGGAAACTCCAAGAAAGTCTGCACTGGTCGTGGTGTCGGGTGCTTGGAGTGGGTAAGGTGCTCATCAGTGTTGTTTCATAAAGCTCACCCCAGCCAACTAGGTTTGTCTGCTGACACCCTTTTTTCAGGATGACATTTTTGCACAATGCACAAAGGACAGGCCAGAGCCAGGGTGAAGAGGAAGGGATGGCGTGGGTGGGCACTCAGGTGGCCTTGCTGATGACATGGTCAGGCAGCAGGAGGCTGTGAGTGAGGCTGTTCACATGAGAACAGAAACCCATAATTACAGCAATAGGAGCATCAGAACCAGAGGGCAGGGGTACCTCCTGGCTCCTCTGATCCCAATCATAGGAAATGTGTTTTTGGAATAAATTCAAGTAAAAGGAAACAAGCCCTAAGAGACAAAAACAATCATTCATATAGTATATTAATTTCCTATTGCTGCTGTAACAAATTACCACTGGCTTTAAAGAGCACAAATTTACTCTCTTCCAGTCTGGATGCCGGAAGTATAAAATCAGATTCACTGGGTTAAAAAAAAAAAGAAAAAAGGGCTGGTTCCTTCCAAAGGCTCCGAGGGGAAATCCTTTTCCTTGCCTTTTTCAGCTTTTGGTGGCTGCTGGCATTCCTTGGCTTGCAGCCCCTTCCTCCATCTTCAAAGTTCATCACTCCAATTGATGCTTCTGTCATCACATTGCCTTCTCCTGTCTCCTCCTGCATCCCTCTTACAAGGAATATTGTGATTCTGTGCTCACATGACAATCCAGGATAGTCTCCCCATCTCATGCTCTTTAACTTAATCACAGCTACAAAGTCCCTTTGCCACATAAGGCAGCATTCACAGGTTCCAGGAATTAGAATGTGGTTATACTTGAGGGGGGGGGGGTGAGCATTATGCCACAATTTAGGCTTAACAACTAGCATCTAAGAGGTGGTCATTTGTTGAGGGGATAAAATGGAAATAAGTAATTTTCAAGGTCAAAAAGCTAATAAAAAGTCCACAACAGCCCAGAAATTGTTTAGCGAGCAAATGCTCATTAAGCATCAACTTGGTCAGGGCATCAGTTCCCCAAGGGGAGTCTCGGCAGTGAGGGAGGCTTGGTACCGCACTGGAGCTGTCCTGTGGGGGTGGAGTCTCTTTATGCTTAAACAGTGATGACAGATGTTCCTTCTTTCTTTTTTGCAGCCAACACTTGCTGAGGGCCTGCTCTTTGCCAGCCCTATTCCCAAGCTGGGCATTTAGAGAGAGAGAGGTGCTCATGGTAACTTTCAAGGGATTAGTAATGAGCCAAAATCTAGGCAGCACATCAACGTGTGAGAGACACGTATAAAGTATGTAGGAGTGCTGAGGAGAGAGGGGACTCTGCCCTCTCAAAATTACTGGGAGCCCAGGTAAATGTTGCCTTTTATCCTGCTCTAAGGCTGATAAAGGCGGATGTGCCATCTGCCTCTCTGCTAACACGCAGGGGCCGTGAAGGGAAAATGAGAAGGGAGAATGGAGGGGAGAGGCAAACACTAAGAAAGCCGCAGGAAAAGGGACAGTGACTTTGAATTCCAAAAGCAAAAATAAAGACTTTTGATTGAATCAAAGAAAATGAAGTTCACTCATTCATTTGTTGAGCATCTACCAATTGTCAGACACTATTCTACCTGGGATACAGCAGGAGTTTAAATAGACAAACCAAGTCCTGTCCTCATGGAGCTTACATTACAGCGGAGAAAGACAGTAAACAAGTAGGTAAGATATGTGTCATCTGGTGATGTCTTATGGAGCCAAATTAAACAAGGAAGCAGCGTAGAGTACTGATGGAAAGGGCTGTTCCTTTCTTTAGTATTTATGGAGCATCTACCATGTTCTAGGCACTGTGCTAAATGCTGCAAGGCAGAAATGATTTCATTCATTCATGACAGTCACTCTGCTAAGCCCTGGGGAAACAAGGGCTCTGCCCCAAAATAGAACTTTCAGGCAAATGTGAGAATCAGTTCTTTAACAGCTGAATATTCAAGATGTATAATTATAAACTGAAGTAAAAGCTATAACTAGAATGTAATGTATACATCTACTTAAATTAGGGACACGAATAAGTATCTCTGAGGAAGAGATATTTGAGCTGAAAACCAATGAATGAATAAGAGTGGAAGATATAAATACCTGTTGTAAACTATTATAATTAGAGCAGGGGTTGAGTAACTAGCTCAGAGAACAGACAGGCCAGAACCAGACTCATAAATATGTGAAAACTGATATATGACAGGGATGGCATTGCAGGTTAGTGGCCAGGTACGAGCAATTCAATAAATGTTACTAAGAAAACACATTGTCCACATGGAAAAAATTAAATTGGACCCCTGCTTCACATCATACACAGAAATCAGTTTCAGATGGTTGAGAGACTTAAATGTGAAAAGAAAACCTTCAAATCTTGACAGAGAAAATCTAAAATCTCTTTATAGCCTTGAGTAGAAGTAAGCAAGTCACAAAAAGCACTGGCAATAAAGGCAAAAGGCTGAAGATTAAAACATTTGACTACATTGCAATTACAAACTTCTATTCATCAAAATACATCCAGGGAGAGAAAGAGGGAAGAGAGAAGAGAGAGAAAAAGGAAAGGTAAAATAAGTTGAAAACTGGGAGAAAACATTTGTAAATCATATTACGAACAAAGAAGTGGTCCCTAAAATATATATGTCTCCTAGAAACCAGTAATATGGTACAACTCAATAGAAAAATGGGCAAAAAGCATGAAGAAACATTTTTTTCTTCCAGAAAAAACCCAAAACCTCCATGGGAAATAAACACATGAAAGATATTCAACCACCATAGGCAACGATATTAGGTTTACAGGCCATCACTTTATACTGATTATATTGCCAAGAAATTAAGATATTTGACAATAACATCCTGGCACCTGGAGATGTTAGGGAAGGTGTCCATTATACACGGGCCTGTGGTGGTATGTTT